ATATTTCTTTCTTCTCTTTTGCTTGAATAAATAGGAACGTTTAATAAGTGCAAAATTGAATATTTGATTCATGATTCTAAATTTCATACATATGTTTCTATGTTTAAATACCAAGCAAATACCGGTAAGTAAAATATGCCCTTTTCACTTCATAAATTAGAAATATTTGCTTGCAATCTGTTTCTCTCACTTTTCTGCCTCCCTTTCTTTTCCAATTCTTTTGAAAGTAACTTGTACTATGAGGTTTAATGCCCCGGCATGTAGGCCCACGTGAACCTTATTCATGAGTAATGTTTCCTTTTTATGCAAACAATGAAAGTTTTCTTACAGATCATGTGACTTGACATAGATTAAAGAGATTATGCTTTTTCTCTTTTTTCTTACCAATTACAATTCTTACATAGTGAGTGATATGATTAAAAGAGTGCTATATATAACTTCAAGGGATTACTCTACGGTAGTTGAACTTCAACCCAGCCCCTTATGGTACTCTCAGCCGCCCAATATCTGCACAGGCAGTGCCCTATCGTAAGATCTGTCCATGGTGTAAAGAGTTTCTGTTATAGAGGTAAAAGTTGTTCCCCTTGTAAGCCCCAACCCCTGTGCATGGACTTCCTTCCTTGTTCCTCCCATGATAACCTAAGTGAGACCTACAATGTAGGTGAAATAGAAACCATAATTTGATCTATGTTCACAGAATCCCAGGTCATTTCTCTCTTCATGGTTGTTCTGATTTCATACACTGTTTAAAGGTACTATGTCCCATTTGCAGGCCAAAAATAATGAAAAAGTTAAATGTCTAATGCATTTGAAAGATAATACTAATTTAGAACTTCCCTAAAAAAGGTGGGGCTTGAAAATGTCTTCAAGTGAGAAAATGACGACTATTAGTTGTCAAATCGACTTTAGAGCTATAGAGCCCAAAAGTAATAGTCTTGATTTTCAGACAATTGTACCGAATGGTCATACGTTTTATGCTGCGCAAAGATTCAATCCGTTTAATCTTGGCCATCACAAGAAGTGGGTTATTGATGTAGACAAATGCTCATGTATCCTTTACAACTCTTTTCATGTATGTTATTAACAAAGAAGGAAAGAAGCCAGTCAGTCACTCAATAGTGTCTGACAGTGAAGTCTAGCAAGTAAACGGGTTTCCTTGCATAATTTGAATATGAGGACACTGCTAACGTTTAAATTTCACAGATAGGACATACATGACATATTCATAATTCCTTCAAAGTTCTACAGAATTTGAGGTTGGCTGCAAAAGGGACATAGTACCTTTAAAGGGAAATCCTTCAAACTTAAGTGTACCCTATATGCGTACAAATGTAGCTGTGCAAAATATCACTACGAAAGATAACTAATACTACATGTACACTAACTAAGATCACAGTCACCCATTATAAAGACGAGTTGGTTATCTGAAAATGTGTCATTAAATTGTTTGAAATAATCATATGAAAGATTTGTTTCCATATCTTGTCATAATTTTGAAAGCTTTACAAAATAATAAATCTACTGCAATCAAACAATTTAATCTATTGAAATGGAATACAAAGCAAAATAATAAAGTAATATCCCCCCCCCCCCCCCCCCATCCAACATGATTGGGTCCATGTGACTTCAATCGTTATTGAAATTGAATTCTTTTGTGTTCCATATTTCATGGTAAAGATTAACAGCAGACAAATGAAATAGAAGAAGAGTTAGATGGAGGGAGAGAGAGAGAAAGATAGAGGGGGAGAATTATCAAACGTGAGGAAGAGGATATGCTGAGTGAAGGGAAAATAGTGCTAAAGAATACAGGTACACAAATAGTCGCCTTTGGATAAAATGTTTCTGGCGCTAACATGATATTCTTTTACAGAAGCCATGACCGTTATTAATATTTTCTCCCCAGAATCATGCGTTGGTTGGTTTCTCCTCTCCTCGATATCAATCTAATAATAACTTGTTATGACCACTAGAATGCACAGCCCCTAAATCCAGGAGTCCTTTGTTGACATTATCAAGTTTCTTTTGTGAAGGCTATTAACCCAATAAAAATCTCATAATATTGCAGTGTCAATATAACAGGTTTACCATATCATCCACTGTTTACATTAGATTTCAACTTCGGTAGTACTTCCCTGACTGACATACAGGTATAAATTAATGCTGACAGTATGTGTATTAGTCGGAAGTATTGCATACATGTACATGTAGTTTTCACTTTAGACTCCAGATCAAAATACACAAGTGAAGCCTTTAAGTAAATAGTTCTTGTAAAACAATGTATCTTCTTTCCAATCTTCAGCCAAGTAACACATGTACATGTACATCTACCTGACCTTAAAAATAGGGGATCAACCTTGACAGGCCAATGGCCTTTGTTGATCCCTCACATCCTCCACCCTTCATCCTAATTATTTCACAGTACAATGTAAATGAATGTTTTTTTTTATATATTTAAATTGTTTTAATTTATAATGATTTGTTTGTATATCTTTTGATGTGATTTTAAAGTGATGTGAAATAAATTGAATACTTAAAGAAGAACAGTTTACAGGTGCATTGAACAAAATAGATGATAAAGTAATAACTGATTTGTAGTTCGAAAACGGCTTTTTAATTTCAATCTTTAGATCAAAGTCTTTCAGAGCATGTTTTAATATGTATTTAAAATGTATGAGTGGTATACAGGTATTACATTCACTGGAATTAATGTTGCAGAAGTATGTTTTACAGAACATTCAAGAACTGCCTTGTCAAAGTGCTCAAGTGTTTCAAACATGGTTATACATTACATAAACTAATAGCCAATTTTCAATTTGTAGTTGTCTGAATATTCATAGAAAATGCATAAAATGTTATGCTAAATCAACACAGCAGATTACATTAACATTTGCTGTCATGATCTAGATGTATTACAAAGAAGGTATTGCCTAGATTCTACATGTATATCAGGTATTCAGGAAAGTGGTATTTCCTTAGTACTTTGTAGACCCTGGATGTTTATGAAACTAAGCTACAAACAACACACTGTGATCATTATACCTACATTCCTAGGTAAAATGTATTTTTTAAATTTGTTTTGGGGTATTAAAAAGGAAGATTTTGAATGATAAAAGCTTTACTATTCCATTCCCCCTCTTTCTAACAAAGAAAATTGTAGCAAAAATCCTTCATTTAAAAAAAAAGGAAAAAAAAGAAGGAACAAAAATTGTCTATAGGCATTTGCAAAGAATGTGTTCATATAAATAAAAAAATATATGTACAATATAAGGGTGAATGCTGCCATGAAAAGAATAATAAAAAGAGAAGGGGAATGATTTATTCAAAAACTCTGACGAGAAAGAAAAAAAAATTGATTGATGAACTGGTCACTGAGATGATTTATCAATCAATCTGTGTTCAAGCAATAAAGGCCTGTGTGGCATCAAAGCAAACATGTACGTTGTCTCAACTGATTGTGTTTTAAAGAAGCATTATATTCTGATAATACTCTGTAAGGCATATGGAGTAGGAGGGGATTGAATTCACAAAGCAATGCCTTCAAGGCAAGAAAACAGAGGATTGTTGAAGGGTAAGGGCGGAAATGAGGCTTACCACAAGCCAGGTTCAATGCAATTACACCTAACGTTGAGATACTGGGTTCGTTCGGTCCGTGAACTTGTTAACTTCAGTGGAACTCGCTTAATTTAATAAGCACATGGACTTCCTCGCCTGTGCAAGATCAAACTTAAAGAGAAGATTTCCTCCTCCGTTCCTTTTCTTCAAGATTGGGTATAATTAGGCAGTCTAAATTTGCTATTTCTTCCCAATTGCTGCATTTACAGTATTTCTGCTCGGTTATCCTTCTTCTATTCAAGACTTAATCTAAAGTATATTTATTTAAGTAACACACTCATATAAACTCATTATATACAGGTGTACAGTATGTGAGATTAATATAAAGCTGTTGATATTACATTATATTTTATTTTCTAGTTGGGTTCAGAATGGTAACGAAATAAAGATCCAATACACAGTTCCCAAGGCTGCATTGGAGTAGGACAACATTTCTTGCCTGCTTAGATTGTAACTGATTACTTTACACAGTTTAATATCAACAGGATTCCTTCAATTACAAACATAAGAAATAGACGCCTTCCTGCGTGCTACAAGTGTATGAAAGTTGTACATGAATGTGCATCGTACCTTTATGGGTATGTGAAATTAGATTAGGTTCCACCCGTCTGGTGTTTTTTGGGTGTGCCTCCTGTCTAGGAATTTCTGCTCATAATCTTTAACTTGAGCTGTAGGGTACTAGAAGAAATGTGGTCCTTTCAGATATTCTCTATCAGACCCTCATCACTTTCTTCCCAAATCATGAATTCTGGGATTCATTGACTACCATGTTTACTGACCAACTTCTTGATCGCCAATAAACTTGGGATTATTAGGTCCTCCTTGCAGAGGTAATTTTCAACGCTCCCAAGTTTCTGTTCTAGGCATTCTTATACATGTACATGTACTTGTCATATTCAAACCCTGAGAGCTTCATGTTATGGATTATAAATCTACACTGTAGACTCTCTCAACTTTCTAACTTGAACTTTGCATTACCAGCCACTTGAAAAATCACATACATGTAGGATGACAAAGTAAATTTTAGTGTACATTTAATATGAGCTCCATAAAGTTTTAGCTTGAAAATATCTTGACATTTATTTTGGAAGATTTGTCAAATGTCATAACGGCCAGAGAAGGTGAAAATTGTATGTTGCCCAAGAGGTTGCTGCAATGGCATTAATGGACTTCACTCGTTTCCAGTCCTGCTTGACTGTTTCTCTATATAAAGATTGTACCTTAACCCTTTCAATCCCATTTGCAGCAGGTCATACTCAACTTTAATAGTGAAAAGATTTTAATCCTTACGTTACAATCAGCCATTCTTATGGACGTTCTGAAGAACAGCCATCAGGCTTTAGTGGGTTTCACCATGATAAAATAAATCAGATGCACTATTCTCTTACCTTATATTCCTGTTCAGCGCTGCGTGGATTCACTTCATACTCGGGTAAGAACATAGCCTCACTCTGAGGCACCGGCCAGGTGGTCCTTGACGCCAGGTAAGGGTCTGTGAGCGAGACTACACTCCTTCTTCTCCTGGATGTCCGCGACCATATCCTCTGGAAGCTGTGGTCACTAGAACTCCGGCTTGGGATCTGCAAGACAGAGGAAAAAACAAGGGGATTGCATTTGGAGTCAATTATCTTTTGTTAACATGGAAACTATCTACCTGCAGTGTTTCCCAAGTGACAGAAAATGACCTGGAATTAGGTGTAGTAAATTTTTAATTAATATTTCAAAGAAAATTATCATCAAAAGTTGTAAGATTCAATCGTTCTCAATTCTAAGTCATTTGAATGAAACTGCACAGAACATATTACATTGAAACATTCGTCTGACACCTATTAAGGTATAATCCAAAATGATTCATAAAATTGACAGTATTCAGAATGATATTGATCTCTGTGATCTAACATGAATGTTGTTGCGAAACCTGTGCTTCCTGTCACAACTCAAAAGTTACTACTGTGAAAATAGATTCATTTGCAGATGAATCATGTCCGAGACACATTATTTGCTTTTGACAGCCAATAACTTAAGGCTTGTATATTCCTTCCCTGACATAGCAACAACTAAATTAAAGGAAACTCTCATCTGTGCTTGCAGAGATCATAAATAGAAGTGTCTTAAAATAATAAGTAATCAGGAGTTCTGGGATTTAGAAACATTGATGAATGTGAATACATTGGTAAAGGGATCTTTTCTTTTGCTTCAAATTTTTTTTTTTTTTTTTTTAAACAGCAGGTATGCAGGTTCACTTGTACCGTCCTCACAATAACATGTAATTTACAGTATATAGAATGCACTAGATAAACATGCACATATATTTGCCATCTAATTCATTCCAACTAGGAAGATTTGTCTAGTAGACACTCTTTTCAATTGATCTAGCAATGGTCCATCCAACTCGATGCGACAATTCCGGCTTCTCAATTTAAATCAATGAGGCAGGAAAGGAAATTGATTCTACATGTGCAGCGGATCAGTCAACTGTACAACTGGGTCGGTCATTTGGAAAGAATACAGCACTATCAATAAGTATGGGTGGAGAGGGCAAAGACAAATGCACTTGTTATTTTTTTAAAGTCAATATTGGAAGTTATAGCAAAAGTGAAGGGTTTCATAAAACAGAGAATGGGTGAGAGCTACATGTCCAGGAAGGAGAATTATACTGACATTCTGACAATTATTATTTAGGGGAAAATATAAAAGTAGAGATTAAACAATCTTAAGAAATATCTGTTTAATTTAGCTAAGTTATAATTGATTACCATAACCTTTCATGTATGTACCTTTCTTATTGCACTCTGTATAAATGTATCATGTACGTATTTCATCTTTTGCACAAGCTGCGCCTTGAGCATTTGACTGTCAAGTGGATTTGGCGCCTTATAAATCTTATGTATTATTATTATTATTTATTAAAGTATAATGAAATTAATTGAGAAATATAAGTAAAACTCTGGATAAGGCAGTAGTTACATGAACTGCATATTATAAGCAATACAAAGTTAGAAGATGTAATAGTAGAACTATTTGAAAAGGAGGGTTAGTAGTAGTAGTAGTCGTAGTAGAAGTAGTAGTAGTACCCTATATATCAAGTTAAATTTGTATCCAAATTACTATGAAATCAAGTGTATTTGTTTAGTTTTACTTCAAACAAATCAATTCTGATGGAAGTAGAACTGTGAGTGATTTAGTCTTATAGAAGGATATCCAGTCTGGAAGCCGACACTTACTCCTGTTTCCTACATCCACGTACAGTAGAAATCTATCAAGTTTGTTACTACAATGTAAACACAGCAAGACACCGCGAGTAACTCTCTCCCTAATTATAACGTGCACCTGATTTGACTGAATGAAAATTAGTGGGAAAACTAGTAGCAGATGTTACTGTTTCTTACATGTGATTGTATGTGAGGGTGACTATCAGAAGAAATAAACTACATAAACAGGTGTATATTACACAGGTCAGGCCATGGAGAACTTGGAGTCACAAAATTATACAATAATGTACTGCACAAGAGGCATCTCAATGAAAAATACTTTATTTGCAAAATATTCTCTTTTCTCAACATCCCGAGTCTGCTGAAGAAAAAAAATCATAATTGCAGGCACCGCATTTCAATATCCATGAATGTAATTTGTCATCTTCTTTTAATCAAAGTAAATATCCATCATAATTGATAAGGTTAAAAATGATTAAATAGGAAACACACCTAATGAACTGTGAAATTGGAACGACTATAATGGTCAAAAGGAAGTATAAACAGCTTACCGGTACCTGATTTCTCATGCATTATTTAATTGTTATCCGGATATGCATCTTTTATTAAAATTACAATAGAGTGATACAAACAAGTTTACTGTTTGGCTTATTAATTGTCAAGCTGTATTCTGATATTAACAATGCCATGATCCTGAACAAATTGTACACTTGTTACAGTAGTTCCATAGACATACATAGTGGGGGAAGTCTTTTTAAATGTTATTTTAAAGAGAACAGAACTTAAATTGGCATTTATGCACCTACAGGTACATGTAAGACACCTCCTACTTTTTGAAGCATTGTAATTACACTCCTACATATAATCCCCTTTAAAAGTGGGTGGAACAACAAGACTTTCATCCCCCCACCCCCCCCCCAACACTTTTTTCCACAAACATACTGAAACACGGTACTGTTACAATGTATGCAGTTTCTTTAACTAGACACAGCATGAACTCTCTAATGCACACTGCTAATGGTGGATTTACATTTTTTCCAGGATTGAAAAAACTGTAAAGCTCCACTCATAAATATGCTCAACCCTTCCTATCAGGGATAAGATCACAGTTGTATGCCCTAAAGCCAATTTCCTTTTTCATAAACCTTTATATTATAATGCATACTGACATCAAACACAAATAATTGTAAAAGGTATAGAAAATTGAACAAATTCTGCAATCCCCTGTCAATTGTAGCAAAGATGTCAGGTAAAATTACAGCCCTGCAAGTGAACCCGTTTTTCAAATAGAGAGAAAAAGCTTTTCCATTAAGGTGTAGTATTGCATGGTACTTGCTACAAATTACAGGCATACAATACGCAGAGGTACTTCCAGGTACTTCCACTCTCTATATAATTGACAATTAAAATTCAATTCAAGTCACCTGTAGTCCTCATGTTTCATTCAATATTCAAGAGTTCTTGGGAATAATATAAATGTTTCTTTCTGGAAATGTTAAATGGACTGATATCAATCTCTCAAGAAGAGTAGTACCGGTAATTGTAAATTTAGAGTATTATGGCACATGGGGGAGAAAAAAGTAGCTTCCTGCAAGAAAGGCTCTACAAATAATTATCTGTGTGTTATACAGACACTACATACATGTATATATCTTGTTTTGTTTTACTGCACCGTTCATCTTTTATTTTTTTTATTTTTTTTGAGGTGGTTAAGAACCTCAGGTTGACCATGAACAAGGCTTATATTAATCTTACACATTAAAAGGATCGTTTAACAATGTTAAATCTGAGATGCACGGTCCTACGTGTTCTCAATATATGGTGTCACATTGAAGCCCTAAAAAAATTGCGCTTCAAAATGACCAAGAAGTGCCTCAAAAAATTAAAAACCTTTGAGTGACCGGTTTTACCATACTCGTTTTCTCCAATACAGGTAGACTGTAGTGTTACGAAAACCGTTTGGCAAACGCAAAATTTTATTTCGATTTTCAATCATAAATATCTTGATAATCAGACAGGCGATCGGCTTGTAAAAGTCATGGGGCTCCTGACTGACCTAAAGGTTTATAATTATCATTGCAGCATGAGCTAAATCAAGGATTTTTTTTAAAGGATCTACAACAAAGTATTTAAACCGGATCCCTTTAAGAGATATGTATGCACACATGATGAACAAATGGGAAGACCTACAAGAGCTACTCTTGTACGTTGTATAGAGAAAGTCTAATCATCTGGATTAGCAGGTGAAACTCCTGTAATGATAGGCTTTACCAGGTAAGCATGAAACTTCTTAAGGTGGTATTTTTCAATCCATACTTAACACAAATGTATTTGGCATCCCATTAGGTATTGTACATACTGTATATAAATTTATCTTTTTTTAAAGAAAAATCCCTTCTACATGACTATGAGTATGATGAGCGACACTACTTGTCAATTTCTCACCATGCAGGTCACATTGCTATTGGGCAATACTAAACCTGGTAATACATCTGGGTACACACACACGAACACATATTCATTTGAATGCATGACACAGGTGGTCAGATTAGAGAGGATATAAATATGGAAACTTGCTAGTTGCTCATTTGAACAGAAATGTGAGAATTGTTGGATTTGTATTTCAAAAAAGTGCACACGCAGTATGTCAAAACAATCACAAATTATCACAGACAGTATGTTCTCTCTGGAGCCAAAAGGGCACTAACTCTGTGTTCAACTATACATATAATACCGTTCTGGCTCCAAACATACATTATTCTATTCAAAGCTGTCAGACTCTCAAACATTGAGTCATTTTCAATTTCCTAATTAAAATATATAAATAAATACACCTCATAAATTTAAATAATAGTATGATGCCACCATCATCTTACTTTCATGAGTCAATAGTGTTTCATTCACATTTTCACTTTTTCACTGGAATCATACACAGCAGTATGCATTTCCATCATATTCTTGTTTTGAAAAGGTGTTAACACACCATGCACTATGCAGCTCTACCCAGAAATATCATTTCTTCTTCTTCTTTAAGATAATCTGCCTCCTTCAATACTGAAGATTCTTGCAAACGCCGTATACTCGGCCTGGACCTGGTTGGGGTATGTATGGGATATCATATATTTAATACAAAACTAATGAACACAGCCTATAATAAACTAATGAACACAGCCTATAATAAATTAATACAGCAATGTTGAATGTTGCTTCCCATTGCAAAAGAAATGTTATCAAAAAGATTTGTAAACAAATATGACTCGGAAGTCTGGGACAAATTTCATAACCATTTCTATCCCTTGTCTCCTCCTCAATCTCACTCTCACTGAGTTCATTTTAATTTTAAGTAGACCTAGACTAAAGTAAAGACTAGACTTCTTGAATAAAAGGAAAGAGTATCATGATAAGTATGACGTGCTGTTCCATAGGAATATTCATACTCCATAGCCTAGTTGAGCTCAAGAAGCTAGAAGTGGGCTTTGCTGAGGGCCAGAGTAGATGTCAGCGGCGCTTAGTAAAACCGTAGTACGAGCCTACCTGGCTCGGGTGGTCAACGGAACGTCAACAGCACTACCGGGCTAGCCTAGCGAGGGCGAGGTTACCAAACTCGGTGCTCGATTCAAGCATGAGTCACAAAAGAAATGAACATAAATACATACCGAACGTTGAGATTGCGAAGCAGATGATTGCCTACGTTGGCTCCGAGAATGTTTACCTCCCATTTTAGGTAATTAATTATATGCTGTTCTACATGATCACAAAGAATAAAGTTCACAACAGAATTGTGTCAGCAATATCAACAGTCACCTGTAACGTGGATAAACAAGATTGCTTCTACTGCACTGGCGCGGCATTGTGTACAATGCATGCATGCATGCAGAATCGACAGTACACAGTAGTACGACCGGAAAGCGCGCGCTAGTCCTGAAAAGCGCGTTCACATTACTGAAAACCACAACATCAATCTTGAATGAAAAATGGTGAGTGTGGGTGGGGTTCTAGGACAATTATCCCCCGGTGGGGTCACTCAATGTGACTTCCGGACCGCATGATCGTTACCAAAATCGCGGAAAAAGGGGTCAATTTCAAGCAATGTCCGCGGACAAAATATTACTCGAAATAAAGAAAATAGGGGTGCACAGGTGTCCCCGAAATTGATAAATAGGGTCAGGAAAAGGGAAAGAGAAAACCGGGAGGGAAAAGAGAAAACCGGGAAGAAAATTATCGGAGCCGAGTCTTGTCCTTGAAATATGGTAAAATAGGGGTAAATTTGCGAAAGTGTCCTAATACAATCTTATAAATAAGGGTATTCCAAAGTACGATTTTGTCCTTGTTTTGACGTAAAAAAGGGGGTTAAATTTCACAAAATGTCCTTGAAATTGACCGCAAAAGGGGTTATATGCATTGGTGGTAACGGTCATACGTGTCACTCTTTGCAGGGGAGTGACCCCACCGGGAATTATCCCCTTGACAAATTGACAATCACCCCCCCCCCCCCCCCCCCCCCCCGAGGACATACCCTGGAAAGTTACCCCTAGGGCCGGTGTGACCGCGCCGTTTGTCCTACCAGTTTCGTTTGTCCGTCGGACATTTTCTGCTCGCACGGATCCGAGGCACGGATCGTCCGAGGGACGATCCGTGCGGTTTGCTATCCGCACAGTCTGTCCTCATATTGTTTTACGTGTATATTTGATAAAAGGAAGCAACTCGGTAAATCATGTGGTAGACATTTTTTCTAGAAATTACATTATAATAACTCTCTACAATTTTTTTAAAGCAAATGGGCCAGTCTTTTTGAAAGTAGAAGTGAATATTTTATTTAAAACCCCGGTTTAAAACCTTTATTCTATGAATATCGGCCCCACAACTGTTGTAATCGATTATACTTTTGTACGTGGCTTCGTTCTTCAACCAACTCACTACTAGTATACTCGTGATCCAGGCCCCGCCCCCAAGTATTTGGGGGCGTTTCGAGGTTTAATGAAGGAGTTAAATGGGAAATAAAGTGATTAAAAATGTGGTTGAAAGTGAGTGGGGGGAGCAAGGGTGTCGATTTGTATCCGTGGTTGGGGGGATGATAGGTGCCAAAATATTTTCGGCAATGGATCAAAGCAATCAAGAGGTAGAAGCGTGTGGCAGGTTGCACCCCTCCCCAAGGGCGTAGCCAGGAGAGTTACAGAGCGCGCAAAGCGCGCTCCCTAGGGGGTTGGGTGCAGGGAGGGCCCTCCCCCGCGAAGAGCTGAAGCTTTGACGTTTCATTAACTTATTAGGGAAAGAAGACGATTCGTTGGACCGTTCTCGACTCTTAATCCTTGTTTGTATCAAGTTCCCCTTCCTCCGCGCGTTGCGCGGAAGCTCTGACGTTTTATTAGATTATATTATTGAAGAAAGAAGACGATTTCATGTACCATTCTCGACTCTTAATCCTTAATGTTTGAATCAAGCTCCCCTTCCTCGGCGCATAGCGCGGAAGCTCTGATGTTTCATTAGATTATTAAAGAAAGAAGACGTTTCGATGTACTATTCTCGACTGTTAATCCTTATCTGAATTCAGTTTCCCCCCTCCCGCGCGCGGAAGCTTTGACGTTTCATTAAATTATTAGAGAAGGAAAACGATTCGTTGTATCGTGTCCATGTCTGAGTGCAATTCGCTCCCGCCCTCCCGCGCGGAAGCTTTGACGTTTCAATAAATTATTACTCTTAATCCTTGTCTGTATTCATTTTCGCCCATCCAGCGCTAAGCGCGGAAGCTTTATCGTTTCATTAAAATATTAGAGAAGGAAGACGATTCGTTGTACCGTGTCCTTGTTTGAGTGCAATTCGCCCCTGCCCTCCCGCTCGAAGCGCGGAAGCTTTGACGTTTCAATAAATTATTAGAGAAGGAAGACGATTCGTTGTACCGTGTCCTTGTCTGAGTGTAATTCGCTCCCGCGCGAAGCGCGGAAGCTTTGGCGTTTCAATAAATTATTAGAAAAGGAAGACGATTAGTTGTATCGTGTCCTTGTCTGAATTCAGTTTTTCCCCTCCCGCGCGAAGCGCGGAAGCTTTGACGTTTCATTTGTTTATTACTCTTAATCCACGTCTGAAATCACTTTCGCCCATCCCCCGCGTGGCGCGGAAGCTTTCACGTTTCATTAAATTATTAGAAAAAGAAGATGATTCGTTGTATCGTGTTCTTTGACGTTTCATTTAATTATAACTCTTAATCCTAGTCTGAATTCAGTTGCCCCCCTACCGCGCAAAGCGCGGAAGCTTTGCCGTTTCACTAAATTATTAGAGAAAGAAGACGATTTGTTGTACTGTTCTCTATATTAATCCTTGTCTGATTTCAGTTTCCCCACATGATGTATGGAACGTTCGTTCGCAAATCTTTGCATGCACAGCCCGAGTGGATGGTAGCATGTTATTCCCCGGCAGTGCTTGTCGCAATAGCTTCTGGAAAGGAATTGTATAGTACTGTTAGTGTTAACGGCCACTATTTAGGCCCATTAGTGACTATATAAAATCGATATGCTCTTCCTGGCTATTTCTTCCTGGCTGTTGCAAACTGACATATTACCAATTGGTAATATGTCAGTTTGCAACAGAAATGGAGAAACGCGAATTTTGTTGAAAATCATGTGATATCACGAACATTAATATGAAATACGCCAGTGACATAGGCCTACATCAGCTTTTCAATAAAACATAAATAAGTTGTGACATAATAATAATTCTCCAAAAATGAATTTTTTAAAGGAAATATCAGGAAATAAAATGAGTGATTTTTTTTAAAGGGTGAACGGAAACAACATAACAACTAGTGAACTATCTTATAAGTCATACTAATGTCCGAAAATCTTTCTCCTTGTCTCCGATCTCATCACGAATTTGTCACAGAGTTCATTTATGTTTACACTGTCCAGGATTGTCTGATGTTGCAGATTGCTACTTTTGCGCTTCGCGCTTAACATTTAGCTCGTTGCTTTTTAACGCTGCGTCTTTGCATCTGGCGCACTGCATTTCTATGATGCTGTTGATTGAACAAAGTGAATAAATTCATAAATTCCTGATGAAGCCGTATGAACGAGACTTCAATTTATTCTTGTCTCATATATACGGTTGTCTCATTTACTTCGTATATATGTATGTATTATGAAAATGAGATAACAAAATGTGTATATTGACGGTCATCTTGCAAGTAATATCCATTAACTACTCTTATCGGGCTCTCATCATTATTTTTTTTTAATTTTTTTTTAAGGTTAATTATTGGGGGATGATTGTACAGGCCACCCCCCCCCCCCCCCCCACCCACTTGAAATATTGGGGGGGGGGATATATCCCCCCCCCCCCCCCCCCCCCGGATCGACACCCATGCTCTCTCTCTCTCTCTCTTTCTTTCTCTCTTTTGCGGGTGGAAGGGGGAGGGGCCAAGGCCCACTCGCCCCACCCCCTGTATCCGCGCCTGGCAAAAGTAACAATTAAGTTTCCTTTATTTTAATTGTGAACCTCTTAAAATCGGCATTAATTTCATAACCTATATGGCGGTCGCGAAATTACAAGATCTTGGGGCAACGTACACGGTCAAAGGAACAAAGTGACAGAGCTTTCGAAAAATTCAACCCTCGAATAAAGTAATTTCTGATTTGATTTACAATGCATATTTAATGGGGTATTATATTAATGTTTTTCTTCCTTTATTCCCCTCTCAAATGTCGTCCGTGGCCCTTGCCCCCTCTGTACATCCTATACACACTGGTGACCAATACATTTTTTTTTAAACCATCAGCGTACTATACCGAACACGGAGTAAGCTTTTTAAACCATCATCAATTCTTAAGCTTTTTGAAATTTCGATCGGATATTGCACCAAATTGATACGAATGATCTTTTTAGGTTAAAGTGGAAAAAACAAACAATAGTGGCCAAAACGGTGTAAATTTATCAAATACGATTGATTGTGTTTGAATCAGCACCCGCTTAATTTACATAGAATTCGGGTGCCGATCAAAACCTGTCCATCAATATTCATTGACTCTGAATAAAATTTCGAACTAATGTTGCCCTCCCCTCCTCCTCTTTAAAAAAATGATTCGATGGTCATGTTTGGACAAAAAGTGACCAATATGACCAGAGCGGCATGAGTATAGATTATATAAGAGTGGTATATTTGTGGATGCAGTGCAATATTTTACCAAGGGTGCTTATTGTTTTTAAAAATAATCTTCCCCACTATGAATTCTGATTAATTACATTACGAACAACACATTTGAGTTTGTTACAGAGGTTAATCACATTAATGGCCAATTTTGGTCAAAGTGGGCAAATGACGGGAGTGCCTGGTCAAAATGGTGCAAAATTAATTTAATGGGGTGGATTTAATCTGGAATCAGCACCTATTTCTATATAATAGTTTGGTGTGCATGAAGCCTATATTAGTTCTGAGTGACACAAATGACAATTTATTTGCCAAAAAGTGTCCAAAATAACCAACTTTAAGAGTTAGGTCATTAAGACATTGGAATCAGCATAAAGTGATTTACCTGAATCCCTTTCCCATCATGGCAAATCTTGCTTGATTTGAGGCCAATCGAATTCCTCCATGCTTACTGAAATTTCGAGTTTGTTATTGAAATCGAGTGCATCATCAAAAAATGACAATGGGTAAATGTGGCCAAATGTGGTGTGAACTGTGTAGTTCATGTAATGCTATGTTCTGCATGGTATAGGTGACATAATATAGGTCCACCAACCAGCCCACATATTGATGTCGAAACCCATGCACCCACTTCTGACTGAATATTTCGCCGGATTATGGTCAAAAATATACACTGTCGCTCATAAAGGTGGAATATTTTTTTTAAATTCCAATTTATGGAATTATTTTAAAAATAATTTAAAAATAATAGATCTAGATAATAGTATACATTCTCAGATTTTATTGATTAATAATTTGCCAATGTGTGTTTTGCGTGACTGCTAAAGCATGTGTATCCTACTATGCTTATC